TCAATATTTAATTGTTTGCATTTCTGAAACAATATGTTGAACACCAAAGTTGTAGCCTTCCTAAAAACAGACTAAGTTTGTTGGCCATTAGGGACTACAGGTAGAAAGATATATCTGATTATAATGTGTGATATATCAAATAAACTACAACTAATATGTATATATGATAAACTAAACAAATAATATCACATTAAAATACCAGCTTATAATTCAGAGATTTAACTTAACTATATATATATATATATAAACGGAATAATTAAAAACAAGCTTAAATGGGTAAATCTTCTCTACATATTTTTGATTCTTTATTCTCTTTTCTGATAAACTCTAATTCTTGTTAAAACATACTAGACATGCTTATTCTGTGCATTTGAGCGCTTTTTGAGTGAAATCATATTTATTCTGTTCATAAAAAGTGTGCTGTCACTTTAATTGAGCGTGAGCGGCACAGCAAAAATAGACTCGGCGCCGAAACATCGCTTCAGCGCTGCTCCAGTCTGTGGTTTGAATGCGCTGATTTGTTAACATGGACGCCGAAAGAAAGAATACGCGCTTGCGGTGTGAAACCGGCCTTTAGGCTAATTCAGGTGTGGCTTGTCTTGAAACTCTTTCTGAAGGCAGAGGAAAAATATTTTTGTTGTGTGTAAATGTTACACGTGATTACAGCACGCTTGCTCATGTGTTACTGATGATGCGTTATATCTTCTCTCTCTGTCTTGGCGTCCCCGCGGCTCTACATAGCACAAAATGTTTGGAAAACGGATGAATATAGGATGGAATCCTGGGATTTATTTTCACTCACCCAGACATGTGACAGTTTTGGTATTCTCATCACACTTGTACTCGTATATGTTTGTGTAGGGATCGTCAAACAATGATGAGCAGGACTCCAGGGTAATTGCTGTGCCATAGCAGGTGTCATGGGTAAAACAACACCTACCAGGTCATTAGAGAAAGAAAATTATTAATACAAAATGATTCAGAACGAACAGTGTGATGTATATATATATTATATACACATTCTCACTGAAAATAACAAAAGAAACTAACTGGTCGAGCTGGTCAACAGGCGTCCCTGTACCACCTAAACCGCAAAAGCAGCCATAGTCTGCAAAGTCCAGCAGTGGTGAACTGTCCGGTACTGTGCACTTAATCATGTCCTCAAACTGCAGCAAGTTTTTTATGCTGTTCAGATGTGCTACAGAGAAGATATTACTATTAAAGTCAAGTGCTAAATGTGGTTTTGAATCAGTTTGGAGTAATAAAACAAATCTACTGACAGGAACAAGCTGCTAGCATGTTAGAATCTGTTGCATTATTTACACTACCATTCAAAAGTTTGAGGTCTGTATTTAATACCTTATCTTTTTCAGCAATGATGGATTACATTGATAAAATGTGACAGTAAAACATGAGCAAAACAAAAGATGTCTATTTGAAATAAATGCTGTTTGTTTTAACTTTCGTGGAATACTGAAAAAAATCAGTTTCCATAAAAAATATTAAGCACCACAACTGTTTTCAAAATTGATAATAATAAATGTTTCTTGAGCAACAGATCAGCATATTAGAATGATTTCTGAAGGATCATGTGACACTGAAGACTGGAGTAATGATGCTGAAAATTCAGCTTTGCCATCACAGAAATAAATTACATTTTAAAATATATGAAAACTGAAGTGTTATTTAAAATTGTAATAATATTGCAGAATATTACTGTTTTTACTGTATTTTTAATTAAATAAATGCAGCCTTGGTGAGCGTAAAAGACTCACCAAAAAATATAATTAATAAAATATTTTACTGACCCCTAACTTTTGAACTGTGGTATATATCTGGGCTCTTTGAAATTAAACATGGATCTTTGAATCATGTTATCAAGTGTAAACTTTGTTTAAATCAGTTCACATAAAATTAGGAAAAGTTGTAATGTATCAACATGTCATTGTTAAGTATGTCTGAGCTAATAACATACTTACATGTTGGTAGAGTCACAGTAAGCATCACGAGTGTGAGATAGACAGCCATACCACTGTGAGAAGCAAATAACTTCATATTGTACATGATTGTAAATCTATTAGTTTTACTGTTGTTTTCTCACACATTAGAAAAAAAAAAAGATTAGAAATTTGCAGCAGCTTTTTTTTTTTCTCTCCTGCCTGAGATCCTGGATCTGAACTAGTGCTAACCATGTTCAAAAAGGCCAGGGGGATCCGTTTAGAGAATGCGCGTATTGCTTTGGATAAAAAAAGTCTTTAATTTTTGGTTTTTAAATGTTACATGAAAATTAAAATATACCAGCCCAAACTCTCTATTCACAAGCCGTCTTGCACTTATGAAACATTGTTCTAAACATCACACCCCTTACAACGCTCTACCTCTAACAATGGACACAATTCTTGTCCCCTATATGAAATGCTTGTGCTGTTGTATAGTTTCATTCCTCCCTTGTCACCCTGTAAAAGTGCCTTCTGAATAAATGAAGGCATGTTGGAGAACTGAGGCTGGTTGGGTGTGACGACCTATGGTTTCACATGCCAACAAAAACACATCTTTGTCTTGATGCAGTAAAACGCTTTGACATAAAGAACAGTTCTCAAGAGACAAACTATCTACGCTACACGATGCAAAACACATTCAGACCACAGGAGCATGAATATATTCAACCTTCTTTTAACAAAGACATACTTAACACTGCTGCTCCGTTTACTTTACATTTTATCTACTTAAATATTTTTTTTATATTCATCTGTTATATAATCAAAATGTAGCCACATTGAAAGCAGGGTGGTATAAATTCTAAAACGGTTTAAAATCTTTTTCAGTCACAGTTGATAATACAGAATTTCCTCTAATATAATTTAATTTATTATAAATGACAAATAATATGTGGGATATTTATAGTTTATGATCTTACTGTAGACAATTCATTACTTTCAATAACAGCAACTTTTGCATGCTACCCTTGAATCATCATGGTAATGTTAAAGTCAGTATAACAAAGCCAATATAAAAATGACAATTTCACTAACTTACCTCCAATTTCCAAAGGCTTCCTCTCTGGCTAAATTATTTAAGCAGCAACCGCTGTGTTTTTGTTCTACTATAGCAAGCTAAAGCTCTATGCCAATCACTATGACTTGCACCAAATCACTGTCTCTTCTCTAATTAACAGCCTTCCTTTTGTAGACAGGATTTTTTTTTCTTATTTGCACATGTGAGCAGCTTGTTATTTAAGTCAACCAGTCTGTCAACTAGTTTGGTACATTACATACTTTGCATTGTTCATTAAACCCGTCACATACCTTTATGACTCAGAAAAAAGACTGTAACTGAACATTGTATCTCAAAGTAAGAGATTAAAGCAAGCTGCTGTCAAACTTAGATTATTTTGCCAAGTCCAAGTAACAGGTGGCATTTTTCTTTCTCTGCCCATATGCTCCACTTTTGAAACTGAAACTGTTATCAGCTGTTAAGTTGAATTTGAACGAGTTCTGAGATGCAGTTGCAGAGATTTTCTGCAAAACTAACAGCACTTGCTACGAAAACACCACAATTATTTAATTCAGTTTAGCAGGACTTTCAATATTGTTGTCTGGTAACATCACAACAAAAAAAAAACACACCGAGAACTGTCTCAGCCAACCCTAATCATATTTTATCACTGACCGAAGCGGTCTCCATGATAACTGTGTAGGGATTTTGATAATATAGACTTGCTTACAGAAACCATCTTTTTCTGCAAGAGAACCTTCAATTACCTCTGTGTAAAATGTGACAAAGAAAACCTTGCATTAAGAAAAACATAAACATAATGCATCATACCCATATAGACAGATATGTAGTTCTCATACTAAAGCACATTAAAGCAGCAGAACAGTTAAAGAAGTATATATAGCGTATCCAACGAAATACACTACCAGTGTTCAGTGTGTTTGTTTCAATAACACAAATAATGTTTTAGTGTGCATTTTAATAGCACAGTGGTCCATTCATCAACAGTTATATTATGGTTCATCATTGTGTTTGCAGATATTTCTAAATCCAGAGCAATATGATGGGAATGTTCACATTAAATGTCAAAAGTCTTTTAGTGACATCCCTGGAATCAAGATCTCAAAGAAAAGGTGACAACAGACATCACAGATGTCCTTCGAATGATCTAGGAGCATTTTGAAATTCATAAACTGAAAAGCCACATACAAAACACACGTGCATGTCTGCAAGCTTCATAAGAAATTATATTTTTTTACATTTAGCAAACACATTACATTAGTTGTGCAAACACTGTAGATATTGGTTTATGGATCAGAAGCTGACATTCAGAGACAGACAAATATAAACTCACACACACACGTGAGTTTGCTGATATATGATAGGTCTGGTCCCTTTCTTTGATTTAGCAGTATAAGACTGTATAAGGCAGAAACCAGAAAGAATAGGTTGATGGATTGAGATCATATAGGCTTGTACAGCAGTGTGGTCACATACTTCTTTTTGTAACGGTGTGTCGCACTAAGGACCATCACGCCATCCTGTGTGAGGAGAGCAAACAGAGGCACATCAGTGATATCAACTGAAAATGCTGGTCATCTCTACCATATGCAAAATATAAATGATTAAAGGGATAGTTCACCCGAAAATAATAACTCATTTACTCATATCTATAAACGTCATATCTATTAAAGTAATGATACTTTTATGGTGCTTTTATCATTTTTGGAGCCTGTCAGCCTTTCATTGTCTGAAAAACAGCAGCACTGTCATTCTGTTAAACATCTACTTTTGTGTTGCACTGAAGGAAAACATTGACTGAAATTATGGTTAACAAAAATTTTGGGGTGAACTATTATTCAGTGTTTGGACATTATTAGAGAACTTTTTCTATGAGTGCCTTTCTAAAGTGTGTGTAGTTTGCTGCCAGACCTTGATGGAAAGGGCATACAGGTGGTTGAGCATCACATGGTTTGGTTCAGGCAGCAGGGTTGGGTCACACTGTTAAAAGCAGACACGGGAACAAGTTAGGGAAAGTCTCTGCTTTCAAAAATCGCACACACTCAGCAATTACCAAACACAGGCTCTTTATCTTTTCTTATCTCTTTAAGCCCCAAAAGGAACCGCTTGAACTGCAACACTGTATTTACAAAGAATCGACCTCTTCTCAAATCACTTGCTTGGTTTCCATCAGATTTTATGTACTTTAGAAAACCCAAATGAAAAAGCTTTAATATCCATTTGTGTTTAAGTAATGGCAATAGTTTCCACAAAACTGTATTTTAAATATTAATAAATAATTGGCGGAGCTTTAGTATCTGATTCCTGATCATGTTGCCAGGCTAGAAACTCCTAGTAAGACAGAGAGAAAGATGGATGAGGTGTGTACAATATTTGAAATTAATATTTTTTATTCAGCAAGGATGTGTTAAATTTATAAAAAGTGAGAAAAGATTTTTCTAACAAACAAAAACTGCAGGGTTGCGAGAACAGGCCGGCAGACGCGGGTGGAAACTCTGTGAAATTCTGCAGGAGTGGGCATGAAGCGGAATGAAATACATGAAAACAATTTGGCAAAATGAGTCTAGCCAGACAGTTGTATAAAGCAGTATAAATGTATATTATGTTCAGGATGTAGCAAAGCAGTACTTACAGAGATTCCAGTGTCTTTGTTGAGGAGCACCTGCAGCAGGTGTGGTGGGAGTATAGGAGGAGAGCGCAGCCTGTCTTCTGATTTGGTTGAGTAGGGATCCTGATGGTATGGTCCAGGTGGGGAGCTGGATAAGTCTGATAGAAAAAAAACATAAGATCAGAACCTGTAGCATATTTTATGAACAGATTTATGTTGATTTAGAGTTACCTGACATGTCGGCACATTTATTGGAGTCTGTCTTCAGTGCATCAAAAACCTCAAAGTCTGTTTTCCTCACTTTAATTACATTATTCACCACACCTGACTTATTAGTCACAAAAGGCTAGAAAAAATATGCAAGAACAGGTTTCAAAATATGATGTATGAGGATTATCAGATAATCAAAAACTATAAGAGACTCTTTCCCACCTCTTTGGGGTCTAATGTCCAGATGCCGTCCACATAGAACTTATACTGGTGCTCTCCTTCTGGCAGGTCAATTACGGCCACAAAATTATTATGACTGTAAAA